ATGTTTTCCTTTGGTGCTTTCAAAAACGTGAGTATTAACACAAGTATATGCATTGTTCCTTTAATACGTTAAAAGTTTTTAAATTATAAGTTACATCAACAAATAATGGATATCGGTTGAGCACCCTCAAATTAAAARTAGATGCATGCAAAAATCAACGAAGTGAAGTGATTCGAGAAAGATCTAATCAAACAATTTAGAACATTTCCTTAGAAATCTGGATAACTTTATAGGGTTTGAGGTTATTCGACCTCGCCCTAACTTTGAAATTCTTTCAAATGCGAAATTTATGTGAAAAGCCTAATCAATAGATAAAGAACTAACAACACAATACTCTTGTACTTTTGGTAAAGTGCTGACACTATCATTCAGCTGGAACAGCTTTAGTAACAGTACATATACACAAGGGAAACCATATTTTTATTTCTTAAAAATAATTGAAAATTGACAATGTTAACTAAGATCTTTCTCTGATTATGTTCCAGTTAAATGATAGTTTCTAATTGTCACTAGATAAAAACTATTTGTTAGTAWCTATTTAGGTTTTATTTCATGGACGCAGTGTAAGCACTCTACCTGACCCAAAACATTCACAAAATTATTCCTTAATTTCTGGCATGTCCTTGTAGCACTTTTATTTCGGGCATATCTAACCACATCTAGGACTTATGAAACTGTACATATCTAGAGCTGATCAATACTGAACATTTTGTATTATAGTTCAACACCACTAGAGTACAAACATTAAATGTGTGCAAYACTTTCCACTATTTACTACAAAATAATGTTAATTAAACAGTAGAAAACAATASATTAGCATAATTTAATAGTATTTAGTGGTATTTATRTYGCACAGTTTTAGTGTTTGTACTCTATTGATCGTTTTCAACCATTCCCATGAGATTCAAAAGATAGAAGACYGGCGTCCATGTTGGAGGGATGAACAGTAGACACTAATAAGAAATCCTTTGTTTAAGCACGACGAGAGAAAACATCTGCATAGAAGCGGGAAAGATTGAGTCAACCATTTGATTGTGATTCTCATCAAGGCTTTGTTTTGTTTCTGCATAACTTCTGTCAAAATACTTGAAAAAAATGGGTCGAATTGGCAAGCTCCTTTCTACTTTAAAGATACATCCGAAAAGCGCAGAAAAATAGCTTTACACCATGGTGGAAACTAGAGATCAACTACTGTGAGCTGCGTTGGCGTTTCTAAAAAAAACTGTTGTATAACAACTTACTACTTTAATAAGTTGCTTCACCTACTTTTTGAGGTGTTAAAATCTATCTTTTTACACAACCCTTTACCTCATGGGCTGTTTTTTATAGTAAAATGTTGTACAAACTATCATTTTACTGCTCGACTTTCCCAGCAATTCAGCACAAAAGCTCAAACGGCTGTTACCAGAGCGTACGGAAGGCCGAAGTATATAGGTATTTCGGTTTTCCATTGTCTGTAATCTTATTGACAATGAAATTGACGTCAAAAATGCTCAAAACTGAAGTGGAACCACGAGAGTAATCGAGTAAGAGTACATACAATGGAAAACCGCCTGCGAATTTTTTTTGTAATAACAAGTAGATTTTTCCATTTAAATAAATTGTTTAAGGAAGAAAAAAACGCCAAAATATTTGTTAAAACTTTGATCTTTTTTCCTCAAACATTTATCTTTCATATTGATAATATTAGAACGGTTAAACAAAAGCATAATATCCACAGGAGAGCGAAATAAAAGCAAAGAAATTTCCCGCCAATTTTGTCATAAACTACGACGCGTCTCAGCACATTCAGGAAATCGATTTGCAAAAGATGAAAAGCAATTTACTTTCATCGAGGGTTTTGAGGCTCAGTTTTTAGGAATAACAAGATGACTTTTCGCTTTGACATTTCGACAACAATAAAAAAAATGCTATATTGGAAATACTACAAAAATATTGAGAAAAGCAATGATCTAAGTGAATTTTTTTCGCCGAGAAGTGGAAACATTTTGAAGCCAAGATTATGCCAGCAGAACCGAGACAGATTTAAAAAGAAAAACAAAGAATCGAAAACATTTATATTACAGCCTTGAATGACTTTATAAATGGATAAAACTTGTATGATGATAATATTTTTGAACCGCATTATTAAGGCGAGTTTGCAATTGGATGCCTCATCGTTGGTTATAATTTATACCGATGAAAAAAATTACTATATATAGCATTTTCTCGGTATTTGAGAGAGGAACATGTMTAGGAAGTTCAAGAATCAAGGTAAACAAATATATAAGATGTGCTTGTACAGTTTGCTGTGATGTGAAGTTCGASTAGCATCGAATAAGGGGTTCAAATACCGATCCTTTGCCGCGTCTATATTAAATCTGATTCACTTCTTGTATGTAGACTATTTGCAGTCAATAATAAATTGATACAGACTAACTGATTTAAAAGTTAATATACCAAGTTTTTCTACCTCAACAACATGTATCAAATTCTATAAATTCAGAGTACGAAATTCTTATAAACTTACTCTTTCTTTTTTATCATTTTCAAAGTAACTATATATGGTATTTAATATGAAGTATTTGTTCGCAAAAAAGGATGTTGTGTTTACATTCCTCGAAACAGCGTACATCTACTAAAAGGCTATCCTTGGAATAGTAGTAATAGATAATCATTCCCTTCTATATTGCTATTGGAGCTCCGCTATTAGGTATTACCTAATTTTTATATTATATAAACATAGTTTKCTTACAAACTTGGGTCCATTTTCACGATATAGTCTTTGTTTGAAATAAGTCAAGACAAAATTAAATTAATATAAGTTATTTACTAATTTTTTATCGAACTGACTCTGAATAACTTCTTTAAAGATATCCTCTCTTTCCCAGTTTTCCAAAATAGCTGGCACGACTTTACGCTCTAAGAGCGTCTATGTCATTCACAATTGAAACGGTACAGTCTTTGCAGTTTTGTCAGTATTGTAACTTTGAGTAATATTTTGATCGTTTGAATCATGTAGTATCTCGTATGAACTAGTAAACTAAGTAARAMTTTTGAGCTCGTTGACCGGYACGTTCCGAAAATTGAGCTGAACATCTTTTAGACTACGTTCACACGGGGCCGGCCAAGTTTGAGGACACCTCAGTTTTAGGAGAGTTCCCACTGTTCACACGGAATCGTCCACATTTCGGTAAGGATTGAAACAGTGTTCACACGGATCCGTTCATCCTTCTAAGTGATCTGTCCTCAAAGTGGAACGGCTTTTTAGCCGGCCCCAAACCTGAACACTTTGCCAGCCTCAGATGAGGCCAGTTCCAGAGTTCCAGAGTGAACCGCGCGCCTAAACTAGAACGGTTCCGAACAGAAACGGCCCCGTGTGAACGTAGCCTTAGTGTGGGTCTACCATGAACAACATGTGCGTTTATAAGTGAGATCAGCTTGCTTTTCTTGGTCACAAAACAGGTCACAGTAGCTATAAAGTGAAGCTGGATATCGCGATCAGGCCACGAGGCCGACTGATGTACAAAACRATACATGGCAAAAATGAAAGTAAGCGCGGATTGTTGTAGTTTGACATACTCATGAAAATTGACACTGCAGACCATCTGCAACGCAGGCGCTACCACTTTGAAGCGTAATATTCACGACGACGACGACGACGAAAAGTCCAGTGACATTTTTAGACGTGGTCTTCCACGGGAAGCCCATGTAATTAACTTTATCAAACATGTTTTATCTGTATCGTATTTTTACCTATTAGTGAAATTCATGAAAAACAATAAAGCCCATAAATGGAAGCGTTTCATTTTAAAAGGCCTCAACGAGGGCAGAATCTATATATGTGCCCGTCCATTCCAAAATTTCAGGATCCGCCACTGTAAACTGTAATCAAACGAGCCTGTATAGTCGTTTCTGATCTATAACGTATTTCTCAAAATGCAGCTACGTTTCATTGCACTGAACATAACAAATTTTGAGCTAAGTCGTGCAAGACGTTTGGTTACAAAAAAGGAGCTAGAAAATAGAAAGTGCAGCAGTCTGAACAAATAATGAAATCCTTAAATATGTAAAAGAAATGATTTTCCTTCTTAATTAATGCACGGATGGAACAGGATTCTACAAGCTTTCATTTCTCACTACAAACCTTGGATWTTCGTAGTCCATGAAATTCAYCAACGATCATATTGCATTCTGGAATGTGACAGGGTGTTCTCAAAATAAGTACTGTATTCGACTTTTGAGTTTTAACTCGCTACGCTCGTGTTTMTAAGCTTGCTTCTCTCGTGTTTTTCAACTCCCATCGTGTTTATATCAGAGGACAGAGACACGCGCGCCGTTTTATATTTCTTAAATTCAATGTGTTTAAAATATCTGTATATTATAACCTTGATTGAACGARATATGGGACATAGAGCCCCACAAATAACGATGAAAACCGATTCAACGTCTTATGAATCAAGTCTCTTAACCATAAAATACTGCTTCAAATCTTTCCATTTCCAAAACCCTCCCCAAAACATGAAAAATGCATAAATAAGTTAATTGACAAATGCACATTTTATTGACACTACATTATCAAGAAAGAGTCCAAAAGTGCTCATCGAAAACATTTGCCTCCTTCACAACGAAAAGCTATACGTGCTGCCGTTCAGATGTGTGGTTCAATAGTGTTTCCTTCTTCAAATCATAATTTAAAAAAGTTTTCTATTTCATGGCCTTCTATCATTGCATAATTATACATGTCATCACTCATAAAAGGAGATAATGGGTTTAGTGTGTCATCGTCGATATCATCCAGTGGGGAACTAAGTGAYGAATTTGAGTCAGGCGGGGTCGGTGGCATCTCTGACTCGTCCGTTATCATTGTTTCGTACATGCCATTGCTGGTTGGTTCAAAGTTCGTTGGAGGGTACTGCGAGAATAGAGTACGTAAGAAGCGAAATGGCAAATTTTCATCAGGAGTCTGTGGTTCATATTGCATTTGGCTGTGTGAAGTCTTTGGTGGATTCATTACCAAATCTAAAGCATATTGTTCAAATGGCTGCTGTTGRTCACTAACCAGTTGTGCCCACACATCCACGTTACTTGTTTGCTGCTTATCATGTAATGGATTTCGTCGAATTGATCGGTGTATGTTATTGTAATGATCTTCACCAGCAACAGCACTGTATTTTTCACCGATGTCAACCTGGAAATGGGAGTGATGAATTACGCCAGCGCCACTGTTACTTGATGTCTGTCCGCTCAATGGTATAGGTATTGGCTCTATAGGAACATCAGCAAATAATCCCGCATCCAAAGAAATACCCATTGTTAATGCTTGTTGAACTAAGTCACTTTCTGATGCTTTCTTTGTAGTTCTTCTATAAACACTACTTAARCTACCGCTAGTCAGTTGTTTTACTGGTAAGGAATCATGGTTAGCGTTTCTGTAAATCCAATTTACTTGCGGCGGTTTTTCTGATCCACGCAAATAAAGTTGGATTTCCTAAAAAAGCAACAAAGAGTATTAACATGCGACTACTGGTGAKCGCTGACTCCAATACAAAACTGGTAGGGATACTCGTCTACCCGGATTGGAAACAACGCTGAACATTGCGCATAAATGAACTTGGGGTGATGATTTATGATTTTTGATTTGAGCATAGACAAAATACCTTATTTGTTTCGATCTTATTCTAAGTGGAGGTCCAGTTTTTCACGATCTGTCCGCTTCAAATCAAGAACGAAATAGTGTGGTTTTCATAAACCCATGAAATATATCTTAGTTTGCTACACTACCACAAAATCAGAACGGCTTTACGAAAACTATTTCATGATGGGGATGTAAAAGTAATTGATTTTAATTACTTGATCAGGATATGGCACTTCAAGAATTGTCCCTGGTGATGCTTGGATGATAATGATTGAATGATCATTAAATTCCTCAATGGCCTCAATATCGGCTAGAGTAACGTAAGCATCTCTAATATCAGTTAAAGAAAACAAACTTAACAGCAACAATAATATTAATACCAATATTCGTTTATTTCATCCTTTAGCCTGCCGAGCTGATTTACAAGGAAGTTAATAGTAAGACCAAGGGAACACAGCAGAACGACTTTTGTACTTTTGTAACTTTTTTGAAGCTCAAACGATCGTTTACCAATAGCTATTTTGAATATTTGAATGTTTCCGCTGACCATGTGTGACGTCTTTGTTCCGAGGGTGTGAGGTCATTAGAGCGCTGAAGACGCGGGTGGTGAGTAACGAGGTCATACCCTCGAAACAAAGCCGTTATATACGATCAGCGGACTGATGGACTGATAACATTAATATACACCTATTTCAAAAAACGTTGTCGTCGCCAGGAATCAG